TATAGTAAGTCCAATGAGTATGAGATTTTGTTGATTTGAATTTTTTGAAAGTTTTATCTCTTAGTTTTATAATTTCCCTCGAATTATAAGTGAGCCAAGGGGCATGTGGTTTCGTTGTTCTGATTGTTCGAATATGTGCGTGGATGTTATAAAGATAAGATCTCTTTTCATTTGAAAATTCTATCATTTCATTTACAGTGGTAATGTGAAATATATCATCCCAATGTATCGCATAAGGATCAGCCAGAAAACTATCTCTATCGAATCTCTGAAAATTATCGAGACAGGACTGGTCTGGTCTGACCAAGATAACCTTACCTAGCCGAAATACAGTTTTTCGAGTTTTCTTTTACAATACAAGACAAGAGAATACGAGACAAGAAATAAGAACCTCTCTATCTCGTGTCTGGGTAGCAACATTAGTGTGGGCGTAAAAAGTTCACTCTCATTTATTTTCAACTGGATATCAAGGTGGAATGGAGTTCAAGGAAAAATGCATGATTTTTGGTACGGTAAAATTTTTCATCGCCAAATTCGTTTATTTTAATTACGATTAGGGCCCTATCAAATCTCTATCCAACACCGGTTTATTTTCCAGAATCGTACCCGCCGTTCTTGAGTATTCACTAGTTTCATATTCTTTCAGAAAATCTGACAACAAACGATAAATCATGATTTTCATAAATATTGCATTGAAAACTTACTCCAGTTCATCCCAATGATATTTTAGAATGTTCAATCCAATTTCTGACAACAATTTTATACATTTTGAAATGTTTCAGCGGTAATTTCGAAAAGTCGACTATTCATGAAAAAAAAGTTTGTACCTGAGAATAATTCAACATACTGTAGATCAAGTTATTCATAAAAATGAAGTGAATTTTAATTTTTCCCTAAAAACATTTTTTATATTTTATATCCCTCAACTCAAAGTAGTTCCCCTCAGATATAATAGCGTTTTTCCAATCCTCGAAACAGTTCTGATATATACTTTTTGGTATGTCCTTGAGCTCTCCCAGCGATCAGATTTCTATCTCTGCAATCTTGGGAATAGGAAAAAGTCGCAGTGGATCAAATCAGGTGAATACGGTAGATGAGGCATGATAACGGTGTTGTTTTTGGCCAAAAAATTACCAATTATGACCCTTCAGAGCAAATCTGGATCGCCGTTGACGTCATTCAGTCTGAGGAAGCTGTTGTATAGCGAAACACGTGTTGCCGTTTTGTAAACTGTCCCTGTAAAATCATTGTGAAATCCCACAATGAAGTTTTACTTGAATATGTCATGAATTTTCATCAAGTATCGACCAATTCTATCACATATTTCATGATGGATCTCGTCAAATGCTATCGAAAAGTACCCCCTTCAATCTTGTCATAAGTGGTTTACTGAGTGAAAGGGAGATCTGTTGAATGAAATATATACGTGAAATATAGCTCTATCCAGTGATTTCATTTCTGATAATATAGGATAGAGAAAATAAATTTTCACTTAGATTTCGGTTTATTTTACCGGTTTCGGTTTATTGAGTAAACTGACACAGTTTTGACAAACAAATCCTCAATTATGCAATACTATAGTAGGTTAATTGAACCTGTAACTAAAATAACAAGAATGTTACCTGAATCATCAATACCTTATCTGAGATACCAAAACAATGATTATTTTATTTTCATAACATGGAGTTCCGTGGTGACCGTGGTAGTGGACGAACATGCTGATAACGTCCGCCCACAAAGAAGGAAAGCGGATGCCATGTGCTATCGTGGGACTCGGTTTTTGTGTTGTGCCAGTCCATTATGTTAATTACGGAAATGTGTGAGTGTCACAAAAAAAGTGATGAATAAAAAACCCCCTTTATTCACGCAGGTATCCAGGCCGGGTGGTTCGGATGACCACGTAACGGAGGCTGTATATATGAAAAAAAAACCAAAGGGTCTCCCAAGCAGGAGGCGACTTCATAAAAACCAAATTGTTTTTATTATTCAAAGAATTGTTTTAATAATAATATTATAGCCGTTTAAAATTATTCAACTGCTAGAATAGATTTGTTATGGAAATGGGTTTTCAGATACAACCAGAATGAAATTACCAATTTTTGAATAATGAATACTTCTCAATAAATGAAATATTTACTGGAAAACTTAAGAAAATATCGTACCACCCAGAATTTAAAATGGAAGAGGTCAACGTAACTTCTTACACTCGGGCCAAAAAGGAAATATGCAATTACATTCTGCAGCACTTCGAAAAACGTGAGAATAAGATTTCTATCAATTATAATTTGGGTACAATTGGTTTTAATTTTATCTTTTCCTCGATCCTTCCATCGAATGAAACTATGTGGAATTTACAAGTGGTTTTCAACTCCCCATTGTCATTCAACGGTGAACACATGGGAACATGTGCCTGTATGTCCATCTTGAGGTAACTATTTTCCACTGCATTCCTAACTCCAGTCAGGCGATTATATTTGACGTTAGGTGTCTTTTCTGTTTGGATGAGATCGAATATTGCGTTCACTCATTGATTTTCTCCCGTATGGGATCCGAAGGCAACATTCGTCTCCAAGTGAGCCAAGATTCTGAGTTCCACTTACTTACTGATTTACGGCTTTCAAACTATGAAATGTTGATAAGACTTCTGTTGGAATTGGCGACAATAAAATGAAATTGGATTTTTTACAAAAATTGCCAAGTTCACTTACAACTGTTTTGTGTCGAATCCATTCTTTTCCTCGAAGCCAATACATATATTACCATTAACTGTTCAGACCGAGAGCTTTTCTCTCTCTTATTTCCACAGCGTTCGTAGTCGTTTGCACTTTTCGTCTATCTAGATAAACTTCTATTCTGGTTAACAATTCAATAAACAACTTATTCGAATAATATAAACGACAACTGGAATTGAACAAGGTTTACAGAAAATATCTTCCTTGTGAATCCTTCAAAAACTCACCTTCTGCGGAAAATCTGTGAACGATTTCATTCTACCGAACTGGATTTCTTTATTGAAAGGAAAATAAACATACAATGGGGTGGAAAGCATTTCGTTCAATTCATACGAGATGTGCTGAATTCAAACTGCACCTCTTTAATAGATTGTTTTATTCAAGGTGTTCACATGAAATCTTGCAATCCACTGAAAAATGAAGAGCGATTCCAACTACCTTAGAATAGATTCATTTCAAAATCGATAAAATTAAATATTGTGTTCGACTGATGACATATTTATTTCGTAGAAATTCATATTGAATGACCGATAGAGAAAATACCTTTTTTCTATTTTCCACTAAGATTTTTATTTGTTACGACCGATTTCAGATTAATGAACCATTCTCAAGTAAGCTGATGCATTTTTGGCAAACAATAAATATACAATAATCTAGTCATTGCCATTCAATCAGCCATTATAATAAATTATGAAAATAATAGAAATCAAAAATTGACCATTAATGAACTATATCTAAATCAAGAAAAAGTATTTTTTTAAATTCACCATAATTACTTCATTCACTAGTGAGAATAATTAAGGGAACATGTTATTCAACGCAAACGAACTTTGGCAAATGTTGCTCTAGTAATGGCGCGACATGTTTGCGTAATTCGTTCTCGTAATTTCACAAGTGACAACTATAGCTGAATGACAGTACAGATCGTACAAATGATGAAAACTAATAACATTCAAAAGTCTCAAACAAACCAAAAAATTATTCAAAGAACTAAGATTATAAAAAAAAGGGAAGAAGAAAAAAAATCACATCAAAGGTGCTGCTTCGTTCCCTCCTGTTCATAAAAGAGGACATATGCCTCATTGCTCACAAGTGATTTTGGCGAAATTGGGAACACGTGTGAATCGTTGTATTCATGCCACGTGCCACTATATGGGTGTCTGCAATATG